AAAAAAAATGACACAAAATTAAGGTTCAACTAAAATGACTGGCTAAGAACTAATCAGAACAGAAACAGAGGAAGGAAATAGGTGAATGAACTGGACGTGAAACATCATACCAAACCAGGTTGTAAAGTTATAGGAGGTTTGGATTATAGTACAGCAGTTGTTATTTTTCTGAGATGACTAACGTTTTTCTTTTCTTCTTCATATGGTTCCGACTTTCGTTCGTTTTGCCTCGGTGACGCCGTAGTGCTTGAAGTTGGATTAGCATCACCTGCACACAAAGCCAATTAGAAACTTCGTCCTGTCTTTCCTGGGCCACCAGATATACTCTGCTGGGTGATAACAAAATAAAAAAAAAAAAGGAAGAGAGAACGACAGCATTAGAAACGGCACATTTATCCAAATTATGTGACATTTAATAGACAAAAAAAACAATCTATGTCTTCCAGGTAATATTTTGGGCTGCATAATAACATGAAACAAACGTGAAAGGAATGATCAGAAACTGCAGCAGGTCACGACTTGCTGTGGGCGAAACTACACATCACGCTGAGCAACAACTTGTATTTAACAGTCTACAGGTGACTAACATACGACAGACTTACACCACTTGTTAATTTAGTAATCATGTTCTTCCAGCCCCACTGTGGAGTCTGGTGATGGGAGGAATGCTCAGCTGAACATTTCTACACAAATGTGAGCCACAAACGAGCCCCACACACGTCTACCAAAATAGCTGGAAGCAGACAAAAGGCCGTTTTTGTCTGGCTTTTATATCAAACAGTTTTGCTAACAGTATGGATGTAATGGAGGGACGAGGTAAAGCACTCAGATCCTCTCACACGTTTACAGCCGGACCACTTGCTACTGAAACTGTTTGTGCTTTTATTTCTACACAGTTTTAAGAAAAGTGACGAGAACTCATCACACAAAACATTATTAAGTGGTGTGTGTGTGACAGATTGACAAATACACATGATTGGAACGACTAAAAAGTCTATTTAAGATGGAAATATACTGAAAACGTTAATCAGACAGAAGAAAGACAAACTAAAGAACTGGCAGTAGGAGTGTGTGTGTGACCCCGGTAGAAACTTTTCCTTCAGTTGGTCAATGACTGCATTTCTTTTATTGAATGATAATTCTTATCTTCTTTATTTTTGTGGTTAAAGGTGGAGTCTGCGATTTCAGAGAAAGATTCTTGATGTTTTCCTCGTTAGCAACTCTGTCTCCTACCAGTTACCCTCCTGTACAACTAAACTGCATTACCATGTGTGTTACCATCTTCTCCCCAAAAGATTAGATTGTGTCGTAGTGAGAGAGGTCGCCACAGTTTGTTGTTTTTCACTTGCGGTTTGGTTAAGCTTTAGGCACCACAACTACACTGTTAGACCAAAACGTCACGCTTAACACAAAGACGACTGCTTGTTAGGAGCTTAGTTAAAGTCAGGCACCAAAACTATTTGGTTAGGTTTGGGGAAATGTTATGATTTGGGTTAAAATATGAGCTTTTCCCAATTTGTACTCTATTTTCTGGATTAGCAGGGTACCTGCTCTATATAACAAAGAAGCTCTACACTAGGTAGAGCAGCCTTCTTCTATGTTGCTCCCTGGTCCTGGAACAACCTTCTGAACACTCTTCAGCTTCATGAGTGTGTCTGATCATAGGATGTGTGACTGAACACTGCTCCTCCTGAGCTGGATTGTATTTTGTGTATCTTACGTTTTACTTTGTTCTGTGTTACTGGTGTCAAGCTCCATCTTCTATTTGTAACTTAATGTTGGTCAGGTCTCCCACCAAAAACAGATTTTAATCTCAACAGACGTCCTGATTAAATAAAGTTTAAATAAGTGAGCCGTTTTCCACTGCAGGAACTTGAGGGCCGTCGTAGGGCGACGTGTGTTCTGACTGCAGGAGCTGCCTCACAATTTCTTTCAGGGCTGATTTTGGGAGGGAAAAAAAAAGCAGCTACTCCAGAGGTAGGTACTTCTCTCTGTCAAACTGCTGTTTGGGTCTCATTGCTGATTGGTTGGACTCAAAGATGACGATAAGCACCATTGCTTTGCCCTGTCGGGATGCTGGGATCGCCTTCAACAATGGAGAATTACATTATAGGCCAACGTGACAGACCTCCATTGTTCTAGCTCCTACATGCTGATAGAACTGGAGTAGCGTTTGTCTCTATTTTGGTGCACTGAGTTCATATTAAGATCCTACACTGTAATGGACACAAAAACCTCATGCTGGACCCAGGTTTCTGCAGTGGAAAGCTGCCGAATGATTGTCAAGCTAAAGATGTGTTGCTTAGAGACATCACAAACAAAGGTGATGCTGAGATTGTCCAGACTTACAAGTACCTAGCAGTGAGTCTGGACAACAAGCTGGAGTGGTCCACCAACAGTCTACAAGAAGGGCCTGAGCCAGCTCTACTTTGTCACGAGGCTCAGGCCCTTCAATGTGTGCAACCGCATGCTCCTGATGTTTGATCAGTCTATGGCGGCCATCTTCTCTGCTGTTGTGTTCTGGGGCCGCAGGCATCAAGGACACCAACAGACTGAACAAACTCATCAGGAAAGCCCATTCTGTTGCTGGCTGTCAGTTGGTCACCCTGGAGGAGGAGGTGGTGGTGGAGCAGAGGACCAGACTGCAGGTCATCATGGACAACACCTCACACCCCCTCCATCAAACTGTGGACAATCTGAGGAGCAGCTTCAGCAACAGACTGATACAACCCTGCTGCTCCAAGGAGCGTTACAGGAGGTCATTCCTCCCGACAGCTATAAGACTCTTTAATGCTTCATTATAAGCACATTTCTGTTATCTCTTCTATATTCTTGTAAATTTGTTGACTTTTCTATATTATATTTTCTATATTTTTATCTTATTTTACTTTATTTAACCTTCATTTTAAACCCTAATATTCTGTGTTGTGTGTTTGCTTGTTTACCTCTTTGTTGAATATTGCTGCTGCAACAACTGAATTTCTCTCTGGGATTAATAAAGTCAGTCTAAATCTAATCCAGCTGAGCACATGTTTCCCTCTAAATGTAATTCAGAATGCAGTTCAGTTGTATCGAAACACAATTTCTCAGAGATGGATGTTAGATATGTGCACGAGCACAAATGTACACAGGGACATGTTTGTTTTCCATTTACAGAGTCAGACTGCATGAAAGCGTCCTGGATCACAATCGCATACTCCACCTTTAACCCAACAGAGGCGAGAAGAGCTCCGTCACACTCACACTTCACTACCAGCTTATCGAGAGGGGGTGAAGACACAACGGACAATGCGATGAACACATATTAGGAGGACAGAAATGCACAGTAAATAAAATGCAATACCTCTGATGAGATGGCAACCGGCCACCTGTTCAATGGTATCCATTTGTAAAAGCTGTCGCAATCAACGGGCCCTAAAAGTGTACAGTTAGTGCTTTTGTCAGTATGCATTTCAAAGAGAGAAAAGTGAGTATCATATCAACTTCCTTCAAGCTAGCATGAATGTGAACGTTTTGATTCAGTTGGATCACGTTGAGCAGCAGAGCAGGAGGCTATCGCTATGTCAATGCACTTCTCTTTTCATAGCCTCGGAATGGAGAAACAGTGCTCGCAGTGACACACAGGCTGCAAAATTACAACAGAAGTAAAACTCATTTGAGATGTTAAAAAGAGTTAGCTATGCTCTATAAAGTCAATGATTCATATTGTGTTCAATCATTCAAGGCGGAGCGACTTTCAGATCCTGCGTTCTGTTACAATGCGGTGCTCAGGTTGCAAGGACTCGGTGAAAAATAGTCTAAATAAAGATATTTGAAAGAGATAAAAGTAATAATAACAATACACACAATCCCCATTCATGCTAACATACACAATGATTTAATCTGAAAGCATGCAGAGAATAGGATCATAAACACCCTTCAGTAAGATCAGTGTGTTTTTGAGCGCTGAATGGTTTCCATTATGCAGCTCAGTTATCAGGACACTGTGAGCTCTCCTGCTGACAGGTCTGTAGAAATCCTTGGATTCAAACACCGCCGTGAAAAGAGAAGCACTTTCAGCCGCGATTATTTGTCTTTATCACCTCAATCAACTAATTGCACTCTAATTGTCTTGCATAAAAAAACAGTTAAGTTCATTACTGCTCCTTCACAGTGGCTGTTTTCATACTGGCTAAAAGGGATTAATAAAGTCGGCGGAGCGTGAAACAGAGGGACAAATCAGCGAATCTGAAGTCATCCATGAGGTTGTGAGATATGATGATCTTATACGTATTCAGTTCAACAGCATCCTCGGTAAAGAAATGAATTATAAAGCACATTTTAGTTCTGAATCATTTCCCGTTTTAATGTTCTGAATAGAGAGATCATCTCGCCGAGAGCAGGGAGTCAGAGGGCTGCTGCATCACCTCTCTGCTTTACTGCACTCCGTTTGATTCACTGGGTAATTCTGAAGTGGTGATTTAGTACGTAGTGGTATCACGGGCACAAATTGACATTCTGTAAAGGAATCACAAAGAATGGCCTGAATTATCTGGCTAAAATACACTATATTCTTCAGCGGTCTGTTTCATAAATTCAACAGTTTTCATATTAAAATGATGAAAAGGGAAACATTTCCGCCCAGGGTTTACAGTATTTCTGTATTGAAATGCTTGTTTTTACCTCCTCTGACTCAGGGTTACAAACTGTTGCACCAAATGAAAAATAATAGAAACAAATGGCCTCATTTCCATCTGTAAACTATCTGCTGGTAAATCTGCCTTGAAAATGAGCCAGCCTGGTCTTTCATAACAAATATTTTGCTTCCTACTCTGAGACCAACAGATTATGGCAGATAGCCAGTGGACCTAAAACAATTAATAAGAGAGGCTTTGCTTGGGTAGCAAAAAGACAATAAAAATGTTTTTTTTCCCCCCTCTTAAGCTTCTGGTTTTGCCTGGATATCATAAATCAATTACACAAGCTCGCAGAAATTAAAATGAGCTATTTGTACATTTGCTCCTGGTGATACTATCCCATACTGAGGATGCACTGTTACAGCCTCACGTTCACCTCATCCTCGCTAAGCTCTTACACTCAGTCCCTGCTGGTTTAATGCACAAACTACTTCTCACAAAAGAGAATTGGGAGTAGAACTGTGATTCCAAACCACAGTGTAAATCTGAATTTGGAACAAAAGCATAACTAAAAAGCAAAAAAAAAACTCCCACCACAATCAGATCAAATGATAAACATTCCTAAACTCAACTTGAAATACATTTAAAAGTGTATAAAACTACAAAGTAATTTAATAGTGAGTCAATGCAGACGACAGAAAAATGCCAAATTAATCCTCTTCATACTTTCTGGTTACTGTAGTAGGAAATTCAAGTTAATGATGTGGACTATAAAGTTTGAAAAGAGTGTCTTCAACCCTGTAGTCTTGCGCTACTAATGGGCTTGTCGTTATTCCGTCTCAGTTAAGCCGTGCATTAATTAGCTTCTTTCTGAAAGCAGGTGTTATTTTTATAGTTTATACTGTGTCACTCGGTTCAGTCGTGTAAAGCAGCACAAACATGCTCCAACGTGACTCGGGGATCTCAGCCCCGCTGCACCCTGCGAGGGGCCGTAAAACTCACACGGTAGCAATATTTTTTTGGGGGAGGGGATTAATTATTCAGTGAGGTCCGAGAAGACAAACACACAGAGTAAACAAATAGCTGATTGAGACTTCTTTTGGAGAGTTTGGTCACTTTATTGACAACGAGGTCCTTAAACATAATGTAGAACCTCTGGGCTGCAGGCTGAGTAATCACATTTATTTTGACTAAATGGAGATGCTAATATTTAAACGCTGGGTTATACGGTGGGCAACCTTTGAATCTTACTTGACAGCAGCTGTTTGAATTATTACACAGTTAAACATGATGCTTGTTGATCCACTTTTTTTTTCTAGTAAATGAAAATGCCACTTTAAGATCCTGCATCCTCTACTTCCTGGATGGAGCCACTGAAACGGAATAAGAAAGCATCCCTCCTGACTTCCTCAATGCTGTGTGCAATGTTGGAGAACAGAGGCAGAGCAGCCATGTCCCATTTAATAGCTTCAAAATCTAATTGGTTTAACTTTCTCCTCAGAGTTATTCTCGTCAGTTAAGATGCTCTTACTGGCTTTAAGATGATCTCTCCAAGACGTGAGTTTACAGTAATAGATTATTATCTTCGTCAGGAACACGGGGTTAGAGGCCTTTCGGTGCATTTCTGTAGTGTGATTACAGTCATTCTTAGCAGGTTGCTGCACTCCACCTACAGCGCCACACCGGCTAAGACACGCGTCTGGGTTCATCCTCGAAAATCTGTAGACGCCGTCAGACTGAGAGCAGCCTCTTTGTCGCTGTCACCTCTACTAGCTTTTTTTTTCTCCTTTCCTTACACCTACGAGTTGACATGGCAACCAGCAGCTAACTGATCAGCGAGGAGAGAGATGAAACAGCGTGTGGCTGAGCAGCTACACCTGGACAAGGACACTGGGAGAGACGAAACCTGCTCGGGAGCGTTGTCCTAGGCATGGAGCAAACTCAAGCTCTGGGACAGATGGGTTTCTAAAAATAAGAGAAATTTGTTCTGGTGGGGGGGAAGGAGGGGGGGTGACACTGGGTCTGAAGTGAGGTGATTTGTGCAACAGCTAAGGGGAATAAACATTTGCATTTGACACAGATAACTTTCAGACCTAAGATGGGGTTTACCCTGACGTACAAAATGCTTATGGGACCTCCGAACCTGACAGAAGAAAGAAATGAACTAAACTCTCCGACTGCACCGAACGGCTTAATTGTACTCGTTGGAATTTAGGAGGCAGGTGGTGGTTATTTTGATCGCTTCAGTGAGGGAGTGTAACATGCTTTAATTAATAAGCCCTACTGTTAATATAGAGCTGTTTTACAGACTGTCACAATCATAGGCTGTGTGCGTTTTCTTAGTGTCTAATTTTAGTGACGGTATTCTGACACAGAAGAGGCAACTGAGCTCATGGTGCAGCCAGACGTGACACAAAGTCTGAATCGGGGTACTCACTGTGATGCTGGGGCCAAACCCAGAGCCAGGCTGAGGGCTAGCAGCACTGATGTAGTTGCCCACAGCTGAATCCTGGCTGCTAGGTCCATACAGGTCAGCCACAGGCCCTGGACTGTTAGCACCAGGGAAACCTCCGGGCCTTGACGGGTTGGTGCCTGCATACAAACACAGCAAGGAGCAGAGCAGCTAAGAACCACCCAACGAGTACAAGTCTCCCTCGCTACGACTCAAACGGACACGTTCAAATCAAAAGAACACATCACTGGATTCATACGTTCGTCTCGAAGGACTTGGCCGCAGCTCACATTACAGATACTTACTGCATTTTGAGACTACGTGTTCAATTTTGGTCTAAAATGGGCTGACAAAATGGAGCAGAATTTAGGTTTAATGTAATTTGAAACAAACAGAATTAAGGGTGAATCCAGTATGATATTCTAAATATAATCTACATGCTGTGTGTATTATGCACAGGAGTAACATTCACTTTTGTAGAATCATGCACAACACAAAACAGGCACTTTGCTAAAAATACTTCCACCATGCTAATAAACTAGTAAAGGTTGCAGTGTAAATGTTGCCATGCATAATGTGAAGGAGTACTTGTAAAACAACATCGGCTGTTGAATAAGAAGAGTAACACAGGATCATGGTGTTAAAGATTGGAATTTCTCTCGAGCATTTCGAACCCAAACACTTGAAATACTACGTGCTGCTTCCCTATTAGACCTGATTAACTGCTACCAGCAAGAACCTCCTAAATATTCTCAGCACTTTCGGGTTTCAGCTTCTCAGCCGGCTGGACTTGACTTCCAGCGTAAAGCAAAAGAGGTATGTCGGGAAAGAGAAGGAGGCATTAGGGGGAAATATAAAAGCTTGACCCGAGTTCATCCTGCAGGTCCAAACTTGGTGGGGGATAAAAAAGAAGTACTGTACATGACTTACCACCTTTGCCCTGTGAGTAAGAGCAACTCAGACTAATAAAATGCCTTTTGAAAATCCATATGCCTACTAAAGGCCAATAACACTGGCAATACAAGGGGAAAAAAAACAGTCAAGGAGAAAGAAAAATGCACTGATCTCTTAACAGCAATCTCCTTTGCTGTCAACTTCACATAACCCTCCGTCTCACCCTTATTCACAGACAGATTGTGGAAAAAAAAAGAAGAAAAAAAACACTGTACAGCTGCATTAAAAAGAAAAATCTTCCGACCACAGAAAATGCTTGATCTCGTGTATATGAGCTCGTGAACCCTGTGATGCCTGAGAGGAGGTCTTTGTAGAACAAAACAGAGCGCCTGCAGGACATCCATTGTGTTGATGTCGAGACACACACACACACGCACACACACACACAGTACACTAACCATCATTGCCGCCTTGTTTAACATATCACTGCTTCATCTATCAAAGCTGTATTAGACAGGTTAGGTCCATCAGAAGCACCTCCAAACACGCTTTAGATATCCGTGTGTAGCACTCTAGAAAAATGAAGCCATCTTACTAAACACACATCTAGTGGAGTTGACACTGCTGTTTAACTGTAAGGACTTTAAACAGTGAGCAGCTAGTGCTCTTATCTTGCCTGCACAGCCCCCAGTAGGCTGGCTTATTATATAATTAAGGATTTTTTCAGTTGAAATGGCAATCCTCATTTCCTATGACTGCTGATTTTTATTGGAGTGTGGCTCACCCCTCTCCCAGTAAAACTGCTTTATTTTATTTATTTATTTTTTTCCCATTTCAATGTAAGGGCTGCACCGGTTGTGCATTCAGCTTTGGGAGCCAAAATAATACAGAGTGCAATGTGGGTCAGACTGCTGTTCACGATAGCGTCCACTGTAACGCACATTCATGTGTTCATTTTAATACGTTATTTTTCATAATCATAAAGACGCTGTTAAGTCTTTCTTGCACTGACGTTGCATTTGGCTGAAAGAGCTGAAGAGAAAATCATTTGATGCTAAGACTGACTTGTGTTTGTGCAAGAAACATGTAAAAAACCCGAATTAACTAAGAAACTTCTAATTTCTTGCTTTATACAAAACACAGTGTGCGTGTACGACGCCTGCCTGTCTCAGCCAAGTTATACTCAAAGTACAGATGCAAGAATGGTGCACACGAACAGCACTTTTCAATGAGATTTGCCATAAACTGCATACAGACACTGTCCTATTCTCCCTGTCAGGAATCTTGTGCAGCACAATCTTCATCTACTGACCTCCAGTTCAGGCCCCTAATGTAAAAAAAAAAAAAAAATCAATTACATTTCTGGAAAATCATTCATACTTGCTTTTATCTACTTGAAACATCCAAACAAACGGTATCATTGTCTCTGAATTTGATATAATTAGGGTCAAGGTTGGCTGCAGATATAAAATCTATTCCGAAAACAACACGCACGTAAATCATGTTACGATGCAATCAAGCTATGTTGACTCACTCAGGATTTGAACGTGTCCTCTCAGGTGAGACAAGCTCTGTGTTTTGACAACCGAGCAATATCCAAAAATAATTCAACAACAGAGTCACTTACAATAGCTGCTGCTGAAAAAAATGTGGTGACTTTTGACACAAAACCTTCCCTTATGTTAGCTATAACACACTACAAGCAGGCGAGGGCATTGATGTGTATTTAGCAGATCTATTAGAAGTGTATGGGAAGGCGTTTGCACCGTTGCCTCACTTGCACAAGCGATACAAAGATACTAAAGCAACAGGCCAACAAGAAACCCCTCAGAACTCCAGAAAGTTACATCTGTGCAATTGTCTTTCGAAAGCTTGTCTGTGCAGTTTTCCTTTTTGCTGTTTGCTGTGGTAAAGTTTGCACAGACAGTCTGTAGGAAATGCCAACATCTGCCTGGGGCAGCTGGCCAACACTTTAACCATTAGGGGGAGAGCTGGCTTCATACTTCTGCACTTACTTTACAAGACCGAAGGGGTGACAGGACAACTCCCTTTGTTTTCATTATTATTTTTTTTTTTGCTACTGTTCTCATGAAACACAGTGGCGGGGGACACATGAGTCTCCAGAGGCAAGGAAGCTAACCGCTGTGTTTAGGTCAACACTTTCACCTACACCAAGGCACATCTCCCACACTGCATGATGGCGCTCCACTAAACTAGATTTTCTGTTCTTACAGCTACTTGAAATGAAACAAACATTGGTGGTACGTCATGTCAGTGCAAACACAATCATGTCATTATCAGAATGAAAAAAAAAAAAAAAAACTGTCACAAACACTGTGGTATTTCAAAAAATAAAGAATAAAAAATTTTAGCTTTTTCTGCTTTCAAAGAAAAAGGATGAATTTATAAAAAATGTTATGCATTGCTTGCAGTTATTGAATGTGCAGTACATTTTACTTGTCAGTGGGGTTTCATCCCTGGCTTTTCAAAACTATGATTACATAAGGCAGAGAAGAGAACATCAGGAGAAAAAAAAAAGCACAGAAGATGAAAATGTTCTTGTGTTGTAGAGTAATGGCGGCATTATGCAAAAATGTTGTCTATTAAGTGTTCAACATTGTGCAGCATTTCTACCAATTTCACACGCTAATAATACAAGCAATCATTCTTACACTTAGAATACTTAAAGGGCTCGACTGAAAAAAAAAAAAAAAAAA